ATATTTACTCGGATGTTCTGCCCATACACCTTCTCTTTTTCTGCATTTATTCACTCATTTTGTGTTAAAACTCCAATCTTGCCTTTTTCCAGCCGAGATGATTGACAAGCTGACCTTGACGTTCAACCGCACCCGTCAAGCCGTCATCACCAAGGAGCTTATTGAGATCATCTCTGGTGCTGCTGCTCTGTGAGTATTTGTAGGAACATGCAGTCAGAGCTGTTGCAGTCATGTGCTGTTTTTTTGCCAGGGTAACAGGCAAGGTTTGGGATTGTAGGCCCTAAAACCAGAGGGGAGGCAGTCCCTGGCATGGCTCCCAAGCTTTTCAGCTTGTGCAGTTCTACTAACCAGAGCGAAGTTTGGCAGTTTTTTCTGAGCAGATACAGTTTAAAAGCTGGTAAAATAGATCTTCAGCCTCACCACACATCCTTACCTGGAGAGGCGAGGGTTTTCCTCCTTTCTGGCCTTTGGTGGATTTCCCCCCTTGTCTCTTTTACCTGGATGTTTCCTACCTTGCTTTATCAAGTAGCCCAGTAGTGTTGAGTGGGGGAGAGCAAATCAGTGGATATGACTGAAATACTTTTAGATAAATCATGTGTTCAGAAGCTGAGAGTTTGGGGGTGGACTTGCAAGGAGGGTATTTCCAGAATCTGTTGTTACAGAATATGTATTTTACTTGAAGTTCAGTATTTTGCTTGTTTGCCTGAGCTTGAGGTTTTGTGCAGGTGTGTGCTGCAGGTTACAAATGTGTGGGTTTAGACCACAATTTGTAACTGCATGTAGCTCATGTGTATTACTGTAACAGTTGAAAATTTGTGCTCTGTATGGAAATACATGTGTTCATATGTACTTTATATTATTTCAGTGCTGTATTGTGCTCCTCACAATACATTTGTGGTCATAAATCCATTCAGAGTTTTGCCTGAATTTGCATGAGTTGCTTCCTAACCTGCTTGTTTTGTTTTTTCTCATAATACCATAACCAGGGATTAATCGGGAAAAGCGGTTCAGCCAAATCCAAGAGGTAAAGTTATCTCATAGAAACTGGATTGTGTTTTAAAATGAATTAACACAGAAAATATAAAGTCAGATGAGGAAGTCAAAATTGAGTGGTCTTGGTCAGACGGAAATTTTTCTTCTTAAAGAGCTGTTAAATTGGACATTTCTATTTTGAATCTGTCTAGACAAAGAATTCTTAATTTTCAGTAATTTTAAGGAAAGTATGTCCATGGGAGTATAATCCTATATGAGTTATAATTTTCTGTGGGGTTTTTTTTCTCTATTACTGGATTAATTCACAATTATTGTTTGAATTTTTGCATAGTGGCCTGACTGAATACAATTACTTAAAAGTTATTACTTAGGTATGTAAGACATACCTAAAGAGGTTTCTGTATTAACATGAACATATTCAAAATCTAAAATGTAAGGAAAATTTTGAAATTTAAAATTTAAGAAAAAAATAGATTTGATGAATAGTTTGGGGGAGGGTAAGGAATATTTATGAAGTGTTCAAAAATTAGGGAAGATAACAGTTTAAAATAAATACTTCAATAGATGAGAGGGTTTTAATTTGTTTCAATTTTCCTTACAGGTGAAGAGGAGCTCTTCCGAGCATATGTGGTTTAGCCTGCCTGTGTCTGTGTTAACAAGACTGCTCTGTTATCTTGTGAAGAAGTGGAAAAGCCCCAGAAATCTGTAAATTCTTACAATAAACCACCTCCATGAAACAGATCCTTTTGGTTGTCTGTGGAGCAAATTCTCTTGGAGTCTAAATATCTGGATTGGGCTTGGGTGTGCTTTGAAACTTTATTTTTTAGAAGTCTGTGTGCTACATTTTTAATTTATTTTCCATATGAAACATGTAAGTAAATGCTTCTTTTGAAGTGTGGAAGAGATTTTTTTGCTTCATCCGGTCTTTGAAAGTGACCTACTTTGACAGATACTGTGAGCTGAAGGAGACTGGAATAACCTCTGCATCACACAGCTAGAATATCTACCCAGCAATTGAGAGATGGGGACATCCGAGTCGAGATCAGAAGCCAATTTTATTGAGTATACAAGGCATTTATATAGGGTTTTACTTGTATGGCACTCATACAGGGTTCTGTTTTTGGTAACAATTTCCACTGCTTGCACATTCTTCATGACATCACCTGGTAACATTATCACAAAGTTTCACAACTTGTTTCTTGATCACTTACTGCCCAGGGACCACTTACCTGTGTCTCCCAGTTTTTGCTCGATCAGGCCTGAGCTATTAGGCTCCTTTATCAGTTCTGTTACATTCTCTGTTTTATTCCCCATAAACACTGATTTCTCTTATTTGAATTTTGTATTGCTACTGTTAACAGCTTTTGAATTTTTAAAATTAACTGATGTGATTAGGTGAGTCACTACAGAGCTTATTTAGAATGCAGTTTATAGCATGGAGTGTGTGTGTATAGAAATGTAAATGTCAGAGGGTTGGGGCAGCTCTACTGTGGAGACACCCTGAGTTTTCTTCAGCCTGGAGAATAGAAGGTTTGAGGGAGACCTTTCAGCATCTGAAGAGGCTCCAGGGGAGCAGGAAAGGGACTTTGGGTAAGGGCATGGAACAACAGGACAAGGGACCGTGGCTTTAAAGTGATGGAGGGCAGGGATAGTTTGGATATTGGGGAGAAATTCTTTACTGTGAAGGGGCTGAGGCCCTGGCAGGAGTTGTCCAGAGAAGCTCATCCTGGTCCCAGTATGGAGCCCTGAGGGGCACCACCCTCAGGACCTTGAGCTTTTGACCAAACCAGGAGCTTCAGGACTTGGTTCTGGGTCCAGGTCCTGCTCTTCAGGCTGCAGATGTGAGATGTGAATGTGACTGATACAACAGACTACTCATAAACCAAAGTGCTAATTTCTGATCTAATTAGGTTTTAATACTAGAGTTGTATTATTTACCTTTCTGTCCTCCATGCTCTGATTAGTTACAGGCGACCACTGAGTTACAGTTTAGCTCTTGTGTATCTCCACAGCCACCACTGAGTAAAAGCTCTGCTGCTCCTCCTTGTGCCTCCTACACCACACAGTTACTGTAATTTTTGTTTCTGGATCCTTTTTTCCACAGTAGTTCAATCCTCTCCCTGCTTGTTTGGTTTTTTTTTCCCCAATTAAAGAACTTGCCCAGAACACTTTTTCCTCGTTGCTGCAAATTTGGTGCTCCATCCAGCTGGAAAGTTAAAAAGGAGAAAAATAACCTTCTTGGGCCGTCTGTTTCAGTGCTCTGGCACCCTCAGTGTAAGGACGTTCTTCCTCATGATGAGGTGAAACTTTTTGTAATCTGGTTTTGTTTATGGCCATTGCTCTTTGTCCTGTCACTGGACATGACTTGGAAGAGTCTGGCACCATCCTCTTGACAGCTGTCTCTGAGATATATTGAGATATTTATTTAGAGGTAGAGAGATTATTTATAGAGATTATAGAATCCCAGGATAGTTTGTGTTAGAGGGGGCCTTAAAGATCATCTTGTACCCGCTGCCATGGACAGACACACTTTTCACTATCCCAGGGTGCTCAGAGCCCCATCCAACCTGACTGAATACCGCCACGACTGGGCCATCCACAGCTTCTCTGGGCATCCTGTGGCAGTGTTTCATCACCCTCACACTGCAGAATTTCTTCCCCACATCCCATCTAAAACTACTCTCACTTTGAAGCCGTTCCGCCTCGTCCTGTCACTACCTGCCCTTGTAAACAGACATGTTACATCCTTCCTTCAGGTGGTGGGAG